CATTCTGCAAGTTAATTTGGAAGGTATCGCCCTTAGTTCATCATGTTAGCGTTATTTCTTGGTGGACGTCTTGAAGCGTAAGTACCTTCATCCCTGAGATGATAGGGCCAGGCAGGGTACCTCCAGCGGTAACAAAAGAACGATTGAAACCGTCAGGCTGAGCGAATGCATTCTTGATGACCAAGTCTGTGACAGGACCGATGGAGGCTAATGCCCCACCGAAAAGTGTGAGCAGAAAAGGGACTGGACGAAACATTGTAAAAACCAAGGAGGATCAGTGGTCTATAGTCCTTCGAGGAGTGGGTCAGCTTAAATATCTTTTCCATAGACATATCGTGAGTGAAAAAAACAAATCAGACATAGTGTCTTCAAGGTATGAATGCCATACGAAGTAGCAGCTGTGAAAGGACTTGGCATTGGTTAAGTTGAAGCGAATGGATGCGGGATATTCCATTTCTAAACTGCTCTCACAAATTTCTGCATGAAAAAGTGTTCAGCGCGTACCTATGAGAATTTTCACATCGCGCTGATGAGGAAGGAAGAAACAATTGGCCAGGCGTCGCTATACCGCGTTGATGTGATTGAACGAAATTGCCTCATTTCTAAGAATAACGGGGGCGCGTGAAAGTGATCATCAGATTTTGAGTGCTTTTTGCAACATGAGAAGGCCAACTTGACGTGCAAGAGATTAGCTTCCCATATGCATTGAGCGTAATTCATGAGAAGGTTTGCTTTTTTGAAACCGTCTGTGAGAGTTCTGAGAAGAACAAACCAATTAAAAACCAAATAAAGGAAGAAGGAGCTTTCACATTGACCTTCCATTGCCAAGATCAGTAAAAGGTATCAGCACTCCCAAACATTACAGCGTCGGCATTTCACCTCCATACTCGCGATGATCGTAGCAGTCGACTCCTCGAAGTATTTTGAATGAGTAGAAATGACACATCTCAAAAATATAGACGTCCATTGGCCCACGTCCGTGGACGATCAAACAATGTTTGACTGACGTATTCTGAAAAGGATTGATCTGTGGGATATCCTCGGGACCGGAAGGTATACATAATGAGAGGCATTGAATTCGCATTATTGGCTCAATCTCCTTGGAACCCATGCTCGGCGTTATAGATGCCTTTGAGTCTTTGACTGACCACGCCAAGCTGTATAGGTCGGAGGAAGAGACGCGATTTGTTGGCGGAGAACTGAAATGTAAAGTTTCCATTGAACAACGACGACCTGCGACAGCTTCTACTTCAACTGTTACACCATTACCCACTTTGGCTCACCCAAACCCAATTGCTCATCTTCATACGGAGCACACTTCGAATGAGCTGAATGTTTCGACGCTGCAGCAAAATAGAGTATGTCGTCTTTGCAAGAGGTGACCTACGGATTTCTATTGTCGTACCAACTCGATAACCACCAAAATCATGGACTATCCCATGATTTTCATTGTCCTCGAAGACGGCTTCTTCAGTCATGGCAAAACCTCAGTCTTTGGCCATCACCGAGTGCGGTTACGTTAGGACGAGGGTGTCTGCGCTCTGGGATCTTTACTAGAAGCGCACTCGTCATGGACTGGTTGTGGTATCAAGAGTAGCAAGCCTGAGAAACTGACCCAAGTGGTTCATCGACATCAGACGCATTGAAAAAACTCGGCATATAAATGTTGTGAGGGTCTTCATAATACGGTAGAATTAAGGCTGCATGCTGGATGTTAAAGCGATGTGAATATATGGTTCACGTAGAGGAGCAGTAAACACTTAGGTGACCTTGCTTTTGCCGATTCAGAGTGATCAGGTCAAGTGTCCTAGGTTCCCCTACGAACCCTCCCTTTTCTTGCATTGGCGGGAAAGGGTGACCTTAAAAAACCGACTTCAAATACGTCCACGCGTCCTCCAGACTCCACCGACTAGCAGACGGGATAGCTTTCGATGCCGTACAGGCGTCGTTGTTTCTTTGGTCTTTGGAAATGGCGCACTTCTTGCCATGGGGTCTTTTGGAAGGGTTTCGTGATTGCTTAAGCGCTCAAAGTTGGCATTGAAATAGACGCGCACTAGTATGCGCCCTTCTATCGGTCTCAACAAGGACATGCCAATCCAGCTTCATAAAACCACCGGAACTCTCAAAGACCCACCAAGATTACGTGCATAGTTGGGTCAAATTCAGGCACGTTCTCAAAAAACTCAACTGTAGTCGTTTCATATCTGACTTTTCGTCTAGATTGAGCAACACACACACATATATATGTTCATATTTGCGGTCATCGCAAAGGCACATATGACCTTCAGACCTTATCGCCGGCATGAGCGATTCACTTGAGGTCAGAAGATAAATCGATTCTGTTATAGTTTTCGCGACATCTCCTGGGTTCTCCGAGATAAGCAAACCGACCTACGGTACATGTCACTCTTTGACTACAGACAAACATCATCTGCGATGCGATTCATTTCGAGGAGCGGAATTGGGCCGGTTGATGTGCCCATAGTGTGCCCGTGCCTGCTGTAGATATTTAAACGGAATGCCAAATGCATTGGTGAGCATTCTTTCCATACAGTTCTTATTCTCACATTGATACCACTTCGCACCTCCCAGAATCTGTAATGTCTACTCAAGCCGACTTCGAAATTGCTATCGAAAATCTCGACAAACCCTTGAACGAGCCGGATATGGAGGTCGGTGTGTATCTTCTACATCGGCTGGAGGAGTTGGGCGTCAAGGTGCGTCTTTCCTTAGTGGAGATTAGCGCGGCTCTCAGCGTTATATTCTTATTCCAGTCCCTCTTTGGTGTCCCTGGAGACTTCAACCTTGGTTTCCTGGTTTGTACAACATGCATCGTATGCGACTGAGATCTTAACTCGCTTCTCAGGATCTTGTTGAAGACTACCCTGGCATTGAGTGGATCGGAAACTGGTAAGTTGAATGTCTGGATCATCCTTCTTTTGCTCACATTATTGATGCAGTAACGAGCTTAATGCTGCCTATGCCGCCGACGGATACGCTCGCATTAAGCCAGGAAGTGTTGGCGCTGTTTTGACCACGTATGTTCCTCTCATCGCTAGATTTCATGAAGCTGATCCTTGCATTAGTTACGGAGTTGGAGAATTATCTGCTATTAACGCCGTTGCTGGCTGTTACGCCGAGATAGTTCCCGTCGTTCATATTGCAGGCTTTCCAGACTTGGAAATGCAAAAGAAGAAGCCTATCATGCACCATACTCTCGGAGATGGACGGTATGTATCTTATTTCTACGCACATGTGAGAACTCATCCATTTTGTCTCCTCTAGGTACAACATCTACACAGAAGCCGCCGCGCTAATCACTTATTCCCAGACCACATTGAACAACCCCGACACAGCAGCAGCAGAGATCGATCGGGTGCTAAGTGATTGTGCTCTACAATTCCGACCAGTATACATCGCTCTACCCACCGATGTCGCGTATTTGAAAATTGCATCTGACCGTCTCCGCATTCCACTTCCTAGAGCCGCCGCGCCTAACAGCGCCCTTGCTGAATCTGTTGTGATTGAGGAGATCGTCAAACTGATTGAGCAAGCGAAAGGCGATGTTGCTGTTTTGGTGGATGTAGGCGCCGTACGATACAACGTTGTTGAGGAAGTGAAGGCGTTTGTTGAGGAGACTGGATTCCCTGTGTATGCCACGTCGATGGGCAAGTCCATTATTAACGAGGCGTACGAGAGGTATGGAGGGGTAAGTTTTCTCAATTGCTCATTTTTTGGGTCGATATTTAAGCTATTGATTACTTAGCTCTACATCGGTCAACTTACACGTCCCGAAATCAAGGGCATGATCGAAGACGCGAAGCTGATTCTCTACATTGGAGCCTTGAAAAGTGATCTCAACACCGGAAACTTTACCACCAAACTTGACGTTGCTCGTACTGTCGAGGTGAGATCCATGACCTAATATATCGTTCTCATTGTAATCTCGTCGTCTCCTTTTAGCTCCACGCTGCCACTACAAAGATCAAATTCTCCGAATACCCTGGCGTTGGGATGAAAGCCCTCCTTCCCAAACTCACTTCCGCCCTCAGTCCCTTTGATAAATCCCAAACACTCTCTATCCACGTCCCCAAATGGACATATCCTCTCCCTCAAGAAGCTGACGAGGTTATTTCCCAGAACTGGTTGTGGTCTCGTATGAGAGAATTTCTCAAGCCTAAGGACGTGATCGTGGCAGAGACCGGAACGTCCGCTTTTGGTGAGTCCCAGTGCCCCGATGAAAAATATTTCGATGACCGACGCATCCAACCAGGTGTGCAAGATATTCCGTTCCCGAAAGATGCCGTTTTCGTCAGTCAGATTCTTTGGGGAAGTATTGGATGGGCGGTGGGAAGTACCCTTGGTGCTGCGTTGGCTGCCAGAGAGAAGGGACTTGGTAGGACGATCCTTTTCATTGGTGATGGGAGTATGTGCGTAGCTGTTCATTGATTCTCCGATAAAACAAGTCGACTCACAGTTTTTGTCAATAGCCAATTGACGGTGCAGGAGCTCTCTACGATGCTAAGAGAGGGACTCACACCTATCATTTTCATCCTAAACAACACTGGATACACGATCGAGCGCGCTATCAGGGGCGAGAATAGGTCAGTGTCATTTTATGTCTCTGGTGCAAGGCTGATCCCTTCTCTTTCTTGACATCCAGGAAATACAACGACGTGGCCAACTGGGGATGGACCTCCCTCATGAAAGCTTTGGGGGACGTTGACGGAACGAGATCTAAGTCGTACACTGTAAAAACCAAGACGGAACTGGACTCTTTGCTCAATGATGAGGCGTTCGCTAATGCGGGTGTAATGCAACTAGTGGAGATCGGTGGGATGAGAAAGTTCGATGCTCCGTATGTGTTGAAGGTTTCAACGGGTAAGGGCGAGACGTGGTGATGAGATGTGTAAAAATTTTCATACCTTTGTAATAGTTTTTCATTGTCCCTAAACCACAAATTAGCCGAACATTACCCTATTATCTCTGTTATACTTTATGGGCATGTAGTGTAGGGGTTATCGCGTCCGCTTCGCATGCTTGATGAGTGTGTAGTATGCGGAAGGTCTCCGGTTCAATTCCGGACTTGTCCATATTTTTTGCGTCGAATCAGATACCAGTACTTGCTCCAAGCTTGCTCAGTTTCGCAGTAAAAATAGTCTTTTTCCCTCTTGGTTACTAGGTGAAAATGCAAGGCTTAAAGATTGAAAATGAGAATGTCGCAATATCACTTGGACGGAAACACAAGTACACCATATATACACATGAGATTTCTATCCTGTACACCTTCTAACTTAAGTACAAGTAACTATAAAATCCAAATGAAAACAAAATAGATCGAGAAGCGATGTACAGATCCATCAAGGATTTATAGAGAGATGTAGCGCGTCGGTAGTATCAATTCGAGAAAAAAATAAATAAGGAATGCGAATGAAATATGAGCGTCCTTGCGAATCTACTGGAATAAACGTTTAGCGCCTCCTGAGATCGACTTGACCTGGTCGAGAAGTCTCGAGCACGGTGCACCACCTTCGTCCGAAGCATTGACCATGATTTGGCACAACGTGCGGAAAGCCACCCCTTTCCCAAAGATACCCTTACCTTTGCTATAAGCATATGAAGCCTTGATGTGCTCGACATTGGGCAAAGCTCCTGTGAGACCAGGTATCTCTCTGGAGTACTCCATTGATATGGGAAGCATGATATCGGACCGACTCTTCTTCTTGTTCTTCTTCTCCATCTCCTCTTTAAAAGACATCTGTTCTGCCCTATCTCCCAATTTCTTGCAAAAACCACCATAAACCTTGTTCACATGTTTTTCGATCAAGTGCAAGTCTGAGCGCCGAGCGATCTGTATACTTTTTCCAATAACGTCGCTGCTTATCTCTTTCGAGGTCGCCGCGACACTCGTAGCAGCATGAGTAGTAAGACGGGTTTCGCAGAGTTTTCGAGCATCTTGGTACGGCTGGAGTAGTATCTCGGAATGATGAACCGTCGGAATTGTCGCTTTAAACTTGTCCATATTTCTCTCCAACAGCTTCATGCCGAAGGCCTCTAAGACGTCGAAGATGAATGGCTCTTCTGAGTCAGAGCTTGCTGGTTGCTTCAACTCCTGTTCGAACTTCCTGCTCTGTTCTTCATCAGCCTTGCGTACATCGCCGCGAAGCACTTCACCGGTTTTGGGCGCATCGAGCAGGTCGTTGAATCTGGAAACACGATAAGAAGGCAGCCTGGAATACATGAGTGATATACGCACAGAAATGCGAGCCTAACAGCTTCCTTCGATTCATACCCACAACGACGAACCGCTTTGAGGTGATGAGAATCGTATATCCCCACGCTGGAGTCATTGAGCCCTCTCAACAGAGTTTTGATGATAGTCTCCTGCGCCACCGGAACAGTTTTCTTTCCAACTTCGTTGAGGACACTGTCAACTCTTTCGACCTTGTGCTCAAAGTTCGAGCGTCTGTCTTCAGGCGGGAGCACGAGGGAAGACGGCTGAAATGAATCCACCAGGGATTTCAACCAGATCAAGAATAGCTCATCTAATAAGTTATTTTAGAAGATTTCGAGACCAGGGAAGAACGCCGTACCGCCATCATGGTCTGGATAGAGAAAAACAAAGTAAATATATATAATCCTGCTCGCGATCATAAATTCGTGTAACTCACCACCACCCGAGCACTTGCTCATCAAACTCACAAGCCCAAGCACTAGCTCGAACGATGGTTTTATGGGAACAACGATGAGGTCTGACCAGGGCGCAAGTTCTGGTTTATCGACTGCTTTGACCTACAACTCCGCTTAGTTTTGTTCAACCTCAAGCAGTCGTGGCTCGCACACCTTTTGTATGTCTGATCGGACACGCAGAGGATACCTAGTTCCAGCTTAAGACTGTGGAAGTGACAAAGCACAGAATAAATACATACCGTCCAATCTAAAAGTCAAGAAAGCCTCAGCCTAGTTCTTTAAATGAGATATGAAGACTCACTAGCACCGTCCCAGTCACGGTATGGTAGAGTGTCTGCGTCTCAATATTTTTGATCGGTTGCGACGATCGATAATATATTTCGTCTTCTTCCAAAACACCAAGGGGGTCTATAGCCAATGTGAACAAAAGTACCCGAAGAGATCTAAGAGCATTAGCCTCACCAGTAATGACAAGGGCATGTGTAGAAGATCCTTCGGGAAGCGGGATATTGCACTTCTTAATCGCGTTTTGCACGGCAGTTTTTAAAATGTTCTCCAATACAAACCAAAGAAGGTAGTCTCTCGCTGGATGAAACCCTGCCTGTAAGAGTTCAATTGCGGTTTCATGCAGGCTCATGGGAGCTGATGAATACAGAGAAGTAAGTAGGGAAAGAATATCATGTTCAGACTATACGCACCTCCGGAAATCTCATTTCTCCCTGATTGGGTCGAAACACCACTCTCGTCAGATTGAAGATCGTCGACAGTGTCATCCTTATAGCTCCTTCCGGCAAGTCCTATGGCCCTGGCCTTCGCAGCGCCCAGTTGTACGATCCTCATGTGGGACACTTTGCCAACTTTGTTAATCGCGTCCCACATTGCAGGCATGGCAAGCTGGCCATCCCAACGGATCAATGGGTCAACAATTTCCTGCAAACCCTTCTCCATAAGCTCTTCAAAGACACCAGTCGGCACACCATTGGCCCACATATTCAGGACACTTTGCCCAGTGAGTGAAACCGAGGGCCCCGTTGACGAAAGAGACGGTAGCGCGGAAGAACACAGGTCGAAAATTCGATGTGCACGGTCGAGAGAGGCGTAGCGTCCACACGCAGAGTCAAAGTTGGGATATACGATCTTGCGCTGCGAATCTCGTATCCAGATCTGTGGAACATCACTCTTGTCTGACGGGTGGATGGTCCAGAGGCCTTTTGATCCTGCGATACGACCTTGAACAGCTGTAGGTCGGGACGGGTAATTCAGCTCTAGTGCGATGGCTTTCAAAGCAGCTTCGTTCATGAATCCGCATCCGTCCGTGAGGACTTTATAGGCCGGAGGTTTGGTGCCTGTATAATCCGAGGCCACTACAAAGCATGGTGAGTAAACGTCTATCGAGGACAAAGGCTAGCTAACCCAGATCTTCAATGAAGTGAATATTCTCCACTTCAAAAAGCAAGGCCGGGATAGTGTTGGATAGAGCTAGGGCGGCCCTAGCAGCGTATTTTGATATCGGCTGTTTAGTGAAGAGTCAGAAAAATATTGAATCCAAAGAGTGGAAATAGGGTACCTGCTGGGAATTCAGTGCCATCGGATTGTGCCATTCCAGCACCTCCCCAAATGACTTTCGATGCTGGTCGCCAAATACTGTCCTCACGCTTCTCTCATAGTCCTCCTTGATCTCCACCAAGTAGACCGTAGACTCCTTAGGCGGAGTCGCAACATAGACTCGCCCGTTCAAAACCAATTTTTGAGCAAGGAAGCTCAAGACTCCGTTTTTGTTGGGACCACGAAGGAATTCCTCGGGAATCCTGACCTGGATTACTCTGCGGGAGCCGAAATATCTCGTGAATCGGGTGGATCGACGCATCTCCAGAGGTTCAAGGTGTAAATAGTGTTTGTGCCATGTGTCTTTCCTAAGAGTAGCGATTTGCTGAATTTGGCCACCAAACCATCGTTCACAGCTCTGAAATTCCCCCATCAGTCCCAATCCGCGCTCCCGATTCTCTAGGATGGCTAGTAGTTCGCGGTCGAATTCCGTTCTGCAATAAGACGTCAGTATAGGAATCTTCGATCACCAGCGCCAGACTCACCCGATTTCATTATTGCACCATTTGGGAGGTACCTCACCCTTCATGATAGAGCGGACTAGATGCAAGACCTCTCCATCTGACTTTCCAGCAAATTGTCTTTCCTTGACCTTCTCCCGAACCTTCTCCCAGCTCCACTCTTTCGCTACAACTCCTCTCGCCAGTTCATATTGCGTTCCCCAAGGAACCGGCCCTTCAGGATTGTCAAAGAGCTTCTGCGTCTCTTTGTCATGTGCAATAATCTTGTGTCGGAGGTGGATTTCACCACCGAATAGCGTACTCAGCGTTGACGAGCTAATGCCAGGTAAGGTATGCGTGGGAGAGGGGTCTGAAGGATCCGAGGGAGAACTGCTCATAGATAGCATGGAGAAGGAGGAGGTAGGCGGGTCGGTAGACGAGGATGAAGGAGGTGAAAAGGGGAAAAAATCTTCCAATGCCTCTTTGCGAGGAGATGGTGATAACTCTATTGAAGACATCGTGGTTTGGCGAGACATTCCCGGGGCAGGATCGAACATGGAAGAGGAAGATTCAGTATCTGTGTCGCTTCCTGTACCTGCCATTCAGCCCTTGGTCAAGATATAACTAGTACCAAGACTCACCGTCATCATCTGAAGAGATCCATATGACTTTATTCTTAAATGAGAGTTTACTAAGATAGATGTCAGCTTTGACATGTACTGCACGTACCGTTTGACGAGCGGTTGATGAGCGGGTGCGAGTCGGAGAGTTCGACGGTACTAGAAGGATTATCAGAGGACATTCCTCAGTGATAACGAAATACGCTTACTCTGACGCCTGGGTAAAGTGGGGATAAACCCGCTGTTATTGATATTGCGAGAAGTTGAGCCGGCAGAAGCTCTTGCTCTCGCTAGATAACTATCAGGAATGTTTTTGCTTGTCCTCACCATTCGGGCGGTTTCTCCACATGCGCCATGAGCATGAACTCTAACAGCGTTCAATACTAATCGATCACTACTTTCAATTTGCGGCGTAGACTCAGTCTTCTCAGCCTTCCTCGGCGTAGTAAACGGTGAAATAACTACTCAAGCGGTTCAGCGTGCAAACCAGCCAGTTGTCAATTGATCAACAACACATACCCAATTTCTCGGTGACTTGGCTCAACCACTCGCTGTCCGAGTCCGAGCCGCCAAGCAGATTCTCAGGATCGCTCGCACCCTTAGAACATAATATTATTAGTACAAACAAGAATTAAATCAATGATAGGATTATAAGCATACGCTGGCGTTATTGCAAAGCCGCGCGCGCGGTGTGCCCTTTGTATTCATACTGTTTTTCCCCATGATGCCCGATTGTTTATTGTTTTTGTTTTTGTATTATGGTTTCGGCATCCAAAATAAGTTTAATTGAGGTATCGCGTTGAAAAGGGTGTCCAGATGATACAAGAAAGAGGAAAGAAGGAAGGAATACGAGAAGATTGTCGTTAACTCTAACGGAAGCAAATTGCTGTAAAGAGCCCACACGTGAGCATCCGAGCTGCCGGCCGCGGCTTGAGAATTTGCGCTTTGACCCGGTCAAAGCCGTTATATCCAAGCCTCCCCGAGTGCTGTGGAGGCCGGAAAGCATTCAAAGCAACTTCATGAACTCACACTTCGAAAGAGACAGCGAAATCTGCGAAGAGTAAAAGGAGTGGGCTCCGGCTCCAAAAAGATGGCAAACTTCTTAAACTGCTTTCACTCCAATTAGATTAGTGATTCGACCCAGGCTCGAACTGAGGACCTTCTGTGCAAACATACAATGTTAGACAGATGCGATAACCAACTACGCCATCGAACCATACCATTGTTGGAAGTTTGTCTATTGTTGACTCTCAGTTCAGTTGCCGTTGCTCAAATAATGCTGTAAAATCCGCAATGCATAATACTAGTAAATGAACATGAACGGAAAACCATCACGTTCCGGAGACACTGAGAAAGAAATAATAAAAATGAAAACACCCTGGACACCAACCACTCAAATCCTCTCCATAAACCTACTCCCATTCCCCTCCCCCACAGCCGCATTGTCTTCAGCATCAACAGGGTCCTCCGCCTTGGATTTATCCATCTGCCTCTTGGATCTCCTCGACGAAGAACCAGAAGGTCGACGGGAGACTGATACCTCGTTGTCGTTGTCATCATGATTGTGGTTGTCGGAGGAAAGACGTTTGGAGTGGGTTGACTTTTTGTCGATCTACGTGAGGTGGGTTAGAGGGTAGAACGACAGATAACAAGAGAACCAAACCACTCACGGGGAACCCATTCTCGCCTACCTCACCGAGCTTCTCTCCGTGTCCGTTCATATGAGAGTACCCAGGAGGACCCTCTTCATACCCATATGCACCTGGAATAGTACCATTGTCTCCGTCATTTGAAGATTCCGAAACAGACGAACCTCAAAAAAAAAGTTAATAAATACCAAGGAGAAGAGACAGGCTAATCTTTCTTACCTTCCTCTCCGCTCTCATACTCCGTCTCACCTTCCTCGCTCCCTTCCTCCTCCTCCTCGTCATACCCCGCAGCCCGAACCGCCGCCTCCACAGGCCCGCTTCTCTCGATCTGCTCGCTTGCCACAAGGTACCTCGCGCACAACATTCGAATATCATTCCACCACTCCATCATCTCTTCCCTCGAGCGACATTTGAATGTCCAAGCATGTTCGGAGCCTCCGCCTCCAGATGACTTAGATTTACCAAGGGAGAGGGAACGACGGATAGACGAGGTAGTAGTAGACCGAGAACCGGTTTTACCTAGGGAACCAGATCCGTCTTTGGTTGTTTCGATGTGGAACTTGTGTACACCTCCGCGAGACGAGCTCGGAGGTCCGAGTGTACAGAGAGGAAGGAAGAGTGAGAAGACCGGTGTTGTTTCACCATCTTCGCCTGCATCACCCTTCCTTCTCAACTCGTGCAGAAATCCAGCGGGAGTCAAGACATACTCTGCTTCAACCCATCTTCTCGTATACCGTTTCTTGCGAATCAAGACACCCTCGTGGACAGACAACACACTGGGGTCGTCCTTGCTAGGGTACTTTATGTTCTGTGGGTTCCGCAGAGGCGTTTCGGGATCGAGAAGGTGATCTGTTCGCGCGCTGAAGGATACCCACTCTAGCGTAGGGTCCAACGCAGCAAATGCCTGCCCAAGTGCGCCTTGATGACGAGAAACGGCCTCCTGCATGCGCACTCTCCATTCTTCATACGTGGCCCACGCGCTTTGTATCGCAGAGACAATTCCCTGTTCAAACGTGGCGCTATTGGCTTGAGTGATAATGATACTCTTTTGCAAGAGATTTTCAGCGTTGACTTGTTTACGAAGTTGCCTCTGTACGTCCATATTGGCGATCAGGGGATCTGATTTTGGATGCGAAGCGAGAGCGAGAGGGGTATTTTTGTAGGTGCTGATGGATGTGGCGAGTGTGCTTATTAGAGAAGTGGATAGTTCGCGTTCACGGAGAGACAGTCGTGGCGAGTTTTCCAGTGTCGTTTTGAATATTCTGTTGTACGAATTAGCGTGTTCAAAAGTGAATAGTAAAACTGGAATCACCTTTACATGCATCTTGATCTCTCCCCTGAGCTTCTCCAAATGTCTCACAATACTTCCTTCAATGGTCCTACCAAACCCAGCATGTTCTTCTGCGACAGCGCGGACACCCTCTTCCCTCATCAGATAAAATACATCCTGCAGACCACCTTCGCCAAGGAACTGGTTCCCAGCTCGAAAAGGCAACTGAATAACGCCGCCGAGTTTAATCAACTCTTTCGCAGTGTGGTTCTGAATATCAGCTAGTCCTTGAAAGTATAGGACGAGCTGTTTGACGATAGCTTTCCAGGCTATGAATCGTTCGATGAGGATATCCGAAGGACGGAGATCGATGGGAGAAGTTTGTTTGCGGATTAGAGATTGAGAACGGGAGAGCGTCGAACCGGCGCCATGCGCTTTGGAGATGGAATGTAGCTCGTGAAGGGGCTCTGGAGTGAGCGCGAGAGGGGGGTCGAGAGTTGTCGTTCATAGTTTGTGGAGAAGGGATGTTTGAATTGGATGCTTAAGTACAGAGGCAAGCCACGCGCGTCATACGACGTCATTCCGGATCATTGATTGGAATTGCTTCCGATGCTTCCGTCTATACTTCTCCGGAGTCCGAGCCTCCTTCCCGAACTCCAACTATCTCGGAATCAAGTGCTGTTCTCAGTATTATCACTAGCCTCCTATAAACAGACAGCTACACAAACGTACTATTGCAGTCAACTGCCTAGACAGGAACATAATACATTAATCAGAAAATTATTCCTCCTCATTCTGCCACAACACAACAACTCTCATTCCATCCCTGTCCATATCTTCCAAGGGCTGATACACACCCTGTATCTCTTCCGATTTCGAAACTTTATAGTAAACTCCCGCAGGCACTCCACCTGAGGTTCCAACTCCTCACTAGTGCGCTTACCAGGAATCCATCGAGACCGAACCATATCAACAACTGACCTATCCTCGAAAGTGCTCCCACCAACATCCAGCTTTAGAGAATGTAATCTCGGAACGATGAGAGGATGGGAGGTAGCGCGAAGGCTCTTGATAAATCGGCCTGTTATAGGGCTGTAGTTTCTGGAGGACGTAGCTGTCATTAATGCTGAGGTTGACCAACGGTCGGAATATTGGTGAGAAGATCGATAATTTTTGAGTCAGCGAGTGCCAAACTCTCGATGGACAAAGTTGTTAATGGACATGAAGATCGCGACAGAAAGTCCATGAATGGCTCGAAGTTTTGCCAATCACTCTGGCGTATGTCGGGGCCGACCTCCTGCTTCGTGAAGGTCATTCCATTCAAGATGAATGACTTTCAAAGAAGGGAGTGTAAGATATAGCAAGACTGAACAATCCTTCCATGCCTCAGGTTCATGTAAAAGTGTTAGCGTTTCGATGGTGCGGCAAGGTGTATGGCAAAGGTCATCGTTCAATGAGCCATCAACTGTCAATGTTTCCTGGATTGTCAATGACACTAGATGGTGATTGCTATCCATTAGAGTTTGGAGTTCATGCGCAAAGAGTTCGTACACTTCCAAATGCGAGAGCTGCGTGAATAGGGGAATTTCAGCTTGAAATAGCTCAGCACCGGAGATAGTGGCGCTCAGTTTCTTCAGCTTTGGTGCTGTATGAGCGAGGAGGTTGAGATCCTGCTCGTTCATATCCACCATGTTTAGCTCTTCCAGGAGAGGGAAATCTCGTGATCCAAGAGATCGAGCAGGGTCCAAAATCAACTTGTGAAAGCTGTGGCTTTCAAGTCGATAGCTAAAGCTACACCAGCGGTGAGTATGGTTACATAGAAGAGTCAAACCAGGATCCTCATCCGAGTCGACAGTGATTGTCAAGGGATACTGTTGTGCTCGATTGAGAAAGATATTTAGAGTGGAGAGGAATCCTTTGTCCTCTTCCCCATTCGCCATCCACTGGCATGCTAGCGATATCCTGGACCATATACTCGGAGTAGATAGACCGTTCCTCCGCCACCGTAGACAAACACCACTAAGAGCTAATGCCGGCAGATCCGTTATAGCACTATGAATTGTCGCAGGTCCAAAGTGATTCATGCCGCAGCAATCATCAAAGATTCGCTGCAAAATCTCGTCGGGGACCTTTCGGCAAGGCGACAGCAGAGACTGCGCCTGGTCCATGTACACTCGAAGGCTCTGTCGACGAGATTCGAGGGCTTTGATCTGTATTTCACAATCCTCCGAGCTCCTGCTGTGATGCTTTGCAGAATCGGGAGCACCTCCTCAAGGTTCGGAATTGACGCAGGACCGGATTCCCATCGTAGTTTTTCGAGTATCAGGGAAGAATCGTCAGGTATTCGAGTCGTGAAGAGAGGTTTACTGCAGTTTGAGCAGAGAGACATATATTTAGAGGTCGTCCGATTCAGATAACCCAATCTAAAACTAGCAGTTTAAGCGCATCTCTCCTTGGGTGAATGAACCATTGACTGAACTCTTCGGATGAACTATAATATTTCAAGGAAGTAGATACATTTGTCGCAACTTGGTGCTAATGAAATCAGAAATACCATGAAACTAGAATGTTCAATGGGAGAACGCATTCTATCGAGTCACTTGCCACTTGGCGCAGCATAAAATACCAAGGCTAGGATCCAACGTCGGCGCTCGTGTAGCTCTTTAATGCCGACGCTCAGCGTTCTGGGCTGTTGTCAAGGGATTGCAATCACGTCGCGTCCGAATAAAGACAAAGTGGTATGTACTTGTGCGACATATGCAACGGCTTTGAGCGCTGCTCAACCCGTAGCTTCCTATAGCCTAGCTACGACATGCCAAGTGGATGCATGTCGTACTATATAGTCGGCGGGGACTCGCCGGAAACAGAGAAACATCAGTCCAAATACAGCAATATGATCGCCAAAATGGGATACTTCGGCGAACTTGGAACAGCTTTTTCCAGTGAATAGGCTAATGAAGCAGAATGACTGCCACTAAGTAGACCAAGCACCGTCAATGTTACGGTGCAGGTACAGACTCATAATTTCCTGAAAACAAGAATGAAGTAATCAATAACACTCGGGACTTTTTTTTTGTTACTTATTTCGACGTCTCTCTTTTGACTCAAACATTTATATTTCCAAGACCTGTATATGCTTCGTAACGCAGGTACAGACAAGGCACGAAGAAATTTCCTCAAAACAGAACTTGAATGGAGTACTCATTTGCGTCGTGCGCTCGGAACATTCTTTTCATTTTTGGTTACTCGCTCGACATTCAAACGTTCAAATTTTACTGCCTTCTCAACTGAGAAAGT